CGGTAAAAGAGTAGCCCAAGAGTTGGCGGTGGGTGGTGATGACTAAGTGCCATCCATCTAGTTTTTCACTGCTAAATTAGGAACGGCTAGCGCAAATAGCCCTTGTGTAGCTTTGCGCTAAAACAGACTAACTGTTTTAGTGTTTGTAACCCAGCTTCCGGACATGCACGTTCCCCGTATCATAATGTAAAGAGTAAGTGTTTACCTTAACCCTTTCGCAACCAGGCGTTTTGTTTTCCCAGGAACCAGATTTATACATAACTGATTTATTGGTATTTTTTACTGTATTAAAGGCCATATATACTACAAATCATTGGATTCTGTGTGAAAATCCCTTATCAAAGTATGGCCATAACATAGGTATTTGGAACAGAAATAACGAGCGTACCAATTATGCCCCTATAGTAACAGATGCTTCTTCATTTTAGCGAAGGTTGTATACTAAAGTATGCTGTTGGAGCAGTAGTCAGGACAAACTAATTATTTCTTTAAAACCCATAATTGTTTGTATTATGTTAGAATCAACATTTTTTGTATATTTGTGATATAGGTTCTGATTGTCATTCATGTGTTCCTTTCAACATTTGTATTATGGAAGCTGTTGCTTTCTCTGGAAAACAAGAATTATGGCTGCTAAAAAGCACGTGCGTAATACCACGTGCGCACGCAGTCTTTAGGAAAGCGTACGCGCAGGTTACCCTGACAAGGAGCGTTGTTGTCCCGCGGGCAGGGTTAAGATTAAGAGTGAAACGCCGTTGAGCGAATATGTTAAAATTTATTATGGGAGCTGTTTACTAAGATATGTGGGTAAGTCTTAGTTCTTGCTGCTCACGTTGAAATCCCGCTTTTAATATTAATTTATATTAAGCTTTATTTGTTACTTGCTTCCGTCACTGTTCTAGCACATCTCCAGTGTTAATATGCCAGAGAGCGTTTGTTGCTCTTATGTTGAAATGAAGGGTTGTACTTGGACTACTTTTATCATGGCGGCGTTTGTTGTTTGAAAATGAAACGAATATTAAATAGTTAAAAATCGAGGCGCACGTTACTCCAGTGTTCTGTATTTCGAAGTGAAGATTCTTTTGATGCATGACAGTAATGCAAAAGCTGGAAACTGCTTATAATATTTATCCGTTTTTAGAATTTAAGTACTCGAGAAATACCAAAGTAATTAAGCTATCCGTATTGCTACTGAACTCTTTAAGCTTTTATTAAACACGTAAAAAATACAAAACTATGAAATATGTTATCAGTAGGTTAATATTTAATATATTTCTTAATATAAAATTATTTTTAAAAGCGGTAAATTACGTAGCTCCAGGTCCTGTAATTGCAAGTTAACCGATTAAGTAATTTTATTCAACTTGGTAACGATATTTTTTAAAAGTGTAAATTGAATGAAAATGACGTGATGAGAATCTGTTAGTACTTTGACACGTCCGTGTATGTATGTATTTGTCAGGTTACCCATTCACGATAGCTTCTTTTATGCCGGCAAGACGCCCGCAGAGCAACGGTCTCTTTACCGAAGAACCGTCGAACCCACGCGGCAGCTGGTTGTTTAGTTTGTAGTTACTAAACCGAAGAGCAACCTGTCAGGACGATACCATATTTTTTGTTGAGGGGTGTAGTAGTGTATTTCCTGTCTGTCTGTTTGTTGATGTCTAAGGGACAGGCTTCAGATGTCATGAATGGTACGAACTTGCTTTGTAACTTAATACGCAGTTTGCTTAAATCGAATTTTTGGTGCTATGAAATATCGAATTAAAATGAAGTTGTTAATCAGTTGCGTCATTTCTGTTGCAGCAGTCATAGATATGTATGAATTGTTTGTACCCACGCCACGTATGATGGGAAAGGCGCTACTTAGCGTTGAATGGAGCAAGACTATCGTCTGTTAAATTGTTTTCCTATTTCCTTTTGGCATTAGGCTTGCTCTAATCGTTTTAGAGTTAGACACGTGTTTGCTACGCAACTTTTTCTTATACGACCTTTAACGCTGTATCCAAATAGCTTCTGTAATACTTGATCAGTGCATGAAAATCTATCAACAATGTTAATTTAGACGTTACATGTTTAAAAATAAAACAGCAGACAGTTAGTGGAAAAAACAACAACAAAAACGTGTATTGATAACTTTCATTTTACTCGTTAACATCCATTATAGCGTAGTTACAAATGAGTTTAGTGTACTAATACCTCAGTTATATTTTTCAAATGCTTTTGTATTATATAAACCTGTTGAAACTTAAGTGTCCCTGTTGTGTTTAAACACCCATATTCTTTGAAGCCTTATATAAACAACGATCGCTATTCAGCACTACCACACCTTTTATACTATAGCAGCATTTCTATTTGTCATACACTGTCAACGTTTCTGTTGCATAAAGTACTTGTTGATTGATTGAAAATGAAATTTAGCCCATGAAGCCCACTCTTCATTCCTAACATATACACAAAACCTCAGTTTTAATTTGTAAACAAACTTAAATATAGCTGCATCTATATAACTATCCAATGAATCATACAGGAATTTAGTTTAACACTTAACAGAACAAACCATTCCATAAGTTTATAATTAACCACAACAAACTTTTAAAGTTGTAACCTTCCAATGTTTGAACCTATTACCCCTAATGTTCATCTTTGTATTTCAGCCTTTTTATTCCAAACAGCACACACACACAAGCCATAGGAAAACTATGAAATATGTAACTCTTAACAGTTGTAAACATTTGAACTAAGCACTTACTCTCTGTACCTCTGTTTTCGATATTGTAGACTTTCTCTTTTTGGCTCACGACCACCACATTGGCTGTCAGTCTAGCATGTCTTGGGAGCTTGGACCCTGGTGGCAGATCAACTATCTTGCTCAGACCAGATCCTTCCCACAAAGTGAACTCTCCATCTTCTGGTGTTTTCAGTGAATTTGAGAATCCTATCATCAACTCATTTCTGATTTTCCACAACGTCTTGCTTCCACTTTTGGTGTCTCCATGCCAGATTCTACTTATCTGGCAGTAGATGCTATTAGCCTTCATTGTTTCAACATCTTTCTTTAAGCCTACCTTTCTCTTTGATTTTTTTTTCCATTTCTGTTATAGCTGGTACTCTTAACCTTCTGCTCTCCCTAGCCATACTATTTTTTTTTCCCTAGGTCTCTTCTGAGTCTTTTTCATTATTTGTCTTCCTTGTGTGGTTCTTCTGGAATGGAACATCTGTTTAGTTCTTGGGGCTCTCACTTGTCCCCTGTTTGAACCATTGGCCACTTGTTCTCTGTAAAACCTTTCTCATCAGACACATTTTTCTTCTACTTCTTACTTGCAGGAGATATTGCTTTGATATTTTGCCTTGGATGTTTCCCATACACTTTACCATGAGTACAGGTTAATAATATCTCCTGACTACTCCTTCTTCTGCAGAACTTGGGCTGTACAGGTGATTGGATGTTTTCTCCAGTCAGTCTCCATTTCTTTTCTGATCATTGCATTTGTTCTATATGAACAATTTGTTATCTCGCTTGGACTGCTCCTTTTCAAGACAATTGATGATGTCTTTTTTTTTGGTGTAGGATTTATCTTTCTCTAGTACCCTATCTCCTTCCTCTTTGACCAGTTTAGTTATACATTTCATCCTTTTTTGTAATGCTAGTGCTCATGGTGTTTACTTTGCAAGGATAATGTGTTTTAGGTCTGTAGTCTAATAATGATTACATCATAGGCTGGTGCAGTCCACTTTAATATGTGTAGGGTTGGGAGTTCCACTCACGGCTTGTGACATGCTTAAAACATTTTCAAGGTAGGTGCATGAGGTAATAGCCCTCTGTTTTGCATAGAGATGAGTCTCTGTCTGATACGATTTCAGGTAAGAAAAATGATAAATTTTCAAGCACTTGCTGAATCAGTAAGGTAGCCTAGGTTCTTTTGCATGAACAAGCAGATAATTGTGTTTTCTGATGTGATATTGCTTGTTAAAAATCTTTAAGCTTTAGTTTCATACTATTTTAAGAAACATTTCATTGTGATAGAATATACTTTCTTGAAAAAAAGTGTTTGTTTTTTAATCAGTTGAGAGACATATCAGAAATTCTTCTTCTTCCAGCATTCACAAAAATAATTAAAATTTCTGTCTTACACATCTAAAAACTAAATATTCTAGAGATTCCTCTTGAGTCCTGTGTCTAAGTAAGTGCCCTCTGTCCTTGAAAATACTTCATATTTGGATTTTGTTTTTTTGTGTTATATCTATTAAAACTTATTTCTCAACATCTGTAAAATTTTATGAAGTGATAATTAATAATTCAGTTTAGTATTGAGTGCTTGCACTTTCATTTGTGTACTCTCACTTGGTTTAAGACTTCTTGAAGAAAACTGTGGCATTGTAGAAGCATTAAGGACTTTAAAGGAGTTCGTTGAAGTAGTTGTATGTAACTGCTTCCTTGTCGACTTATTTTCATAGACAAGTTCACTATATTATATATTTTCTTGATACAAAAGATATATATTTTTTTAATGGTATTCCACATAGATATAGCTGGCATATAAGATAGTCAAGCAAGGTGTGACACAGCAGTAGGCATTGGGAGTATTTGTAGATACATCTTGAATCTTGGATTTAGATATACTGATATTTTATTGTATATTAAAACATTGGCTTTGCAATAAGTTGTCACCCTGCCTTTTATATGGTGACTTAAAATGAAATATACTGCTGCAGTCTTGTCAGAGGGATTAATGCACTTGTGATCAGCTTTTGTACATAGTTCTTTACAACACATTATTTGCTGATACGGTGACCATTATCTGACATGAGTGAGATGCAACAAATGAAAAACTTTTACTGTGAAGTTTAAAAGTTTTAAAAATATGTATACTATGTAGATTGATGCTTGGTTTTTGTCCTGTCTCATATGTATTCATTGTATTTTGTTTTCAAGTAGCACCAGGATTATTTCATAAATCACAGATTCTTTGAAAATAAAACATGTACATATGAATATTACTGAATCAAATGAAAATTGTAAAAGCAGTCATAAAAATGTGTAGCAAGATACATCTTTCATAGTGTTTTTTTAATAATTTCAAATTATGGTTATGTTACGAACATTTGGATAATAAGTATAGTAATTACAATTGGTGTTGAGGAGGTATTTTATATACGTTGTATGTTTTTTTATATGTAAACATGCATTTATATGAACTGCTCTATGTATAAATAATGTTAATATGAAAATATAGTGTGAGCTTGTTTCCTTCTTATATTATGCACTGTTTATAATGTTTTTAGGTATTTACTCAGCTTCAAAGTTGCAAAAACAAAGGTGTAGAAGAAAAAGTGCTTTTGTTGGTTGTTTTGTGGCGGTCTCTGGCTGCTAGTGCTCAAAGTTTGGACGGCATATCCAATGTCTTTCATGTTTTATACAAGTAAGAGATATTTTAATAAGTATCATCAATTGTGTTTTTGTTTTTCAAATACAATAAGACATTGACTTTATTTTATGTAATTTAACAACAGAATTATTTTAGTTGACAAGGTTTTGAGCAACTTTGGTTGGTCAGATTTGATATGAATCGTACACATACATGTGTAACCAAATAGCAGTATACACCATTAAAGACATATAATTTACATATATAGCTATTCTCAATTAAAGTATAACGAAGTAATCAGTTATTTGAAAGAAACATTTTCATTCAGGCCATGAGAAATTTTAGTATTTATATTTCACATAAATTGGTATTCTAGACTTTTGTATTATAATCCGTTTTGTAGGGCATGAGTTAAAACTAAGACTTTCTTAAGTACCACTGTGGGTAAGATAACTGAAGTGTCCTGGGACAGGGTTGTCTTTTTTTTTTTTTACTGTAACAAACAAGATGTTTAAGACCGTTGGGCACAGATCTTGGCTTTATGGATGATGTCTATGACTGACACTTCTTCAAAAGGAAATTCCCTTATAAATCACCTCTGGTGGAAAGTTTTAATTTTAATCCATTTAAAGTAAGTAAGAGTTTTCGTTTAGCAAGCACATTGGAATCCTACTGTACCCTTCTTTTTCGATTTCGTAACTCAGTTGTGCACTGTTTCCGATTGTTACTGTTTTCAGTTTTTCCAAGAATTGATTAATCAAAATTAGTATTCCTGATTATTATTGTTTTTGATTGTTCCAACAATCAAATATATTGATTTTCAGGAAGATAATCAACTAAGTGAAATTATGAGTAAATCAATTGTGATGAAAATAATGATTTAATTGAAATTAGTGTTCCTGATTGTTATTGTTTTTGATTTCAAATTCGATGATGAGGAACCCACTTGGAGACTAATAATGGTTGGAGACGGCTTGAATGGGTAATGAAGAAAACTTTAAGTTTAATATAACAGTAAATGTACAACATTTCGACAAGGTTTTGTCATCATCGGGTACCCGTCATTTATATAGTCCATTGAACAGAGTCGTGTGGCTATGTTTATGAGGTTTTTAAGTGTATTGATTTTTTGTGTGGTGTCATGAGCAGAATTCCAGGGGATGTAGAGACTGGTGTGTGTTCTTGCGGTGAATTTTGGTTTTAAACTGTGTGTCCGATCTAATAATTTTGAGGTTAAGAAAAGATAACTGATTATTGTTGTCATGTTCTATGGTAAATTTGATGTTGGGATGAATGGAATTTATGTGTTTAAAGAAAGTTAATGTGTGTTCTGTAGAAGTGAAACCAGCAAAAGTGTCATCAACATATCTGTACCAGTATAGTAAGGGATGAAGTGCAGAATGTATGGCTTGTGTTTCGATCTGGATCATAAATATAATGGCAAGCACGGCTGAAACAGTATTGCCCATACTTAAACCATCTATTTGAAGGAAATGTTTGTTGTTGAAAATGAAGTTGGTTTTAGTCATTGTAAATTCTAAGAGAGAAGCAAAAAGTGTGCTGAGGCTGTGCATTAACTTGTTGGGGTCATTAATATAAAGGCTGAGTGCAATATTGCAAGCTTCATTAGCAGGGACTTCGGTGAAGAGG